TCTACACCTTGTTATCTCAGATTCTCCAGCATCTGTAGTTCCTACTATCACTTGCATTTATGTAGCAGCTTTCATAATCTCATGACATCATAAAGTGCTTTACAGCCAATGAAGTACTTTTTGAAGTGTAGTCACTGTTATAATGGAGCTAATTTGGTAGCCAAAAGTTTGCACAAATAGCAATGCAGGTAACAAGCAGATTATCTTTTTGTACCAGAGGAAAGGGATCTATTCAATTAGCAGGCTGTCCTGGTGCCAATGCAAATAATATAGTTTTGTATAAGTAAGAAATGCCTTAGTTTTGTTTGTTTTCTGTATGTAAAGACTGCAAAGAACCAAACTGCTCTAGTGACAATGTATGTATATAAAGATTTTTAATGAATAAAGTATATTTTTGAAATAAAAAAGCAACTGAGGGGGAGTAATGGCAACCTATTATTTTAACTGCCCCCTCTCAACCCACACTCTGCCTGTGGCTTGGTTTCCATCACTTAAAATCAGGACCCACGTTTATTTTTGGTTTAAAAACTCCCTAGGAAACACTTTTTCACAAAAGAAAATTATTAAATAATCTTCTATGAAGCGTTTAAAAAAATTTGGCAAAAGCATGTTATAGTGTGTAGTTGATTTTTTTTGAGAAAGGTGTAGTTACACTAACATTCTGAGAAAGCTTGGTAATACTCCTGCAGCAACAGAAAATATGTTAAAATTTAGTTTAACCAAAATTGATGTTAGGGAAATATCACGCTCATTTGCTGTAAGCTGTTTGCAAAATCCATTTTGCTAAAGCACATGGCAGATAGTTGGAGCTAAGATACAGATCGGCCACGATCTAATTTGAACAGCGAACAGCCTGCAAGGGCTGAATGGCCTCCACGTCGTTCGACATTGTTAAATTCATGATCTTTTGAAATGAAGGATTTTTTTCACTGTGCCCAGCTCTCAGTAATGTTTTGCTTCTATATGTTTTCTTTGCCAGCATATGTGCCTGAGGAAGAGCTGAAAGCAGCGGAGCTCAGCCAAGATCTTCAGGACAAAGAATTGCCACCAGGGAGTGACCAGGAGCATGAGTTTGTGTGTGCTGAGGAAGATGACAATAAAGAAGTGCCCAGTTACCAGAATTCACCCGCCAGCACGCCAACTAACCCAGAGCCGGGCTACGGGTCACCCGCCAGTGACACCAGCGATCAGCTGGCTGAGTCCCAGAGCACCTCATCTAAGGATGGGCAGGAAAAAGAGGAGGGGCTGGGCATGGACAGCTTACTCGTCTCACGGGACAGCCTGGCACAGATGAAAGCCGCCTACTCCAACTTCCTGAGCAGCTCGTACTGGACGAGCCTGGGCCTGGACCTGAAGAACGCGAACCAGCCGAGTGTCAGCACCAGCAGCAATGGCAGCAGCACTCACAGTGGTACCGGCGGTGGGGCAGGCTATGACTGGCACCAGGCCGCCTTGGCCAAAACCCTGCAGCAGACCTCATACGGAGTGATGCCCGAGTCCAGCCTGTTCAGCACGGTGCAGCTGTACCGGCAGCACAACAAGCTCTTCGGCTCCGTCTTCACCGGAGCCAGCAAGTTTCGGTGCAAGGACTGCAGCTCTGCCTACGACACCTTGGTAGGCCTGACGGTGCACATGAATGAGACGGGCCACTACCGCGATGACAACCAGGACAAGGACGCAAACAACCCCCGCAAGTGGTCAAAGCCCAGGAAGCGTTCCCTCATGGAGATGGAGGGTAAGGAGGACGCACAGAAGGTATTGAAGTGCATGTACTGTGGACATTCCTTCGAGTCCCTGCAAGATCTCAGCGTCCACATGATCAAGACCAAGCATTACCAGAAAGTGCCTCTCAAGGAGCCGGTTCCTGCCCTTGCCTCTAAGCTGCTGCCACCCAACAAACGGAGAGTCCAGCCCGACACCCAACCTTGCTCGCCGGAGTCCGCTGCCAATCCCACGGGGGTGCCGGCCAGCGAGTCGGCTTCGGCGCAGAAAGCTGCCAATCCCTACGTGACCCCCAACAACCGCTACGGCTACCAGAACGGCGCCAGTTACACCTGGCAGTTTGAGGCCCGGAAAGCGCAGATACTGAAGTGCATGGAGTGCGGCAGCTCCCACGACACATTGCAGCAGCTGACCACCCACATGATGGTGACTGGCCATTTCCTGAAAGTCACCAACTCTGCCTCCAAGAAGGGGAAGCAGCTGGTTTTTGACAATGTGGGTGAGGAGAAAGTCCAATCCATCCCCTTGCCCCCTTCGACTCCAACGCGGATGGCGGCGCCCACCCCCCAGACGAAGCCCGAAACGCCACCTTCACCGGTTACCGAGCCCAGGAAGGAACACGAGGAGGAGGAGGAGCCACTGGAACAGAATGAGAAGGAACAAGAAATAAAGGAGGAGAGAGACAATCCCACAGAAAAGTTTGAGTCCACCTCACAGTATCAGTATCTCCGGGAAGAGGACTTGGATGAAAGTCCTAAAGGTGGGATTGATATTCTCAAGTCCTTAGAGAACACTGTCACGACAGCCATTAACAAAGCCCAGAATGGGGCACCTACTTGGGGCGGCTACTCCAGCATTCATGCAGCATATCAGCTTTCAGGGACCATACGACCCTTTCAGCCAACAGTGCAGAACGTTCAGTTGACCCCATTCTACACTAATAGTGTCAAGGCCCTGTCTTCAGAGCATCTCACTGCAGTGGAGTCTTCAGAGTGCCATTCACCACCACCTCAAAAGAGCAATGTCCACGCAATGGAGGAACTTGTGGAGAAGGTGACAGGTAAAATGACGATTAAGTCAGAGGAGAAACCAGTAGAGAAAGAGCCTGTGGTCACACCGGTGACCAGGACAAGCTGTAGCTCATCACCTCCCAGTGCTAAAGACCCTCCCAAAGCTGAGGACTTTGACGGTGCAGCTCAACTGAAAAGAGGTGCTGAGGGGGAGGAAGTGAAAGTGAAAAAAGAGAGCAATTTAGAGACCTCTTCTCCCAATGGGACAGAATGTTTGAAATCAACTGTTAGCAACGGCTGTAACAGTATGGCGATTATTACAGACCATTCACCGGAATCACCATTTGTCAATCCACTTAGTGCACTACAGTCAATTATGAACACACACTTGGGCAAGGCTGCCAAGCCATTGAGCCCTAGCCTTGACCCACTGGCCATGCTCTACAAAATAAGCAACAGTGTGTTAGACAAGCCTATATTCCCTGCCGCTCAGGTCAAACAAGCAGATATTGTAGATCGATACTACTATGAAAACAATGACCAACCCATAGACTTAACAAAGTCGAAAAGCAGTAAAAAGCTCATTTCAGCCATGACAGAAACAATACTCTCCTCCTCGAGGGAAAACGCTTTGTTGGATATTTCTGACATGGTCAAGAACCTCACGGGCCGGTTGACACCCAAGTCTTCAACCCCATCAACTGTTTCAGAGAAGTCCGAAGCAGATGTGAGCAGTTTCGAGGATACCTTAGAGGAGATCTCTCCAGTGCAGAAGAGGAAGGGCAGACAGTCTAACTGGAACCCTCAGCACCTTTTGATACTCCAAGCTCAGTTTGCGGCCAGCTTACGTGAGTCCTCTGAAGGCAAATACATTATGTCGGACCTGAACCTACACGAGCGGGTGCACATTTCAAAGTTTACTGGTCTTTCCATGACCACAATAAGCCATTGGCTGGCCAATGTAAAGTATCAATTGAGAAGGACAGGTGGAACTAAATTCCTGAAGAACTTAGATACAGGTCACCCAGTTTTCTTCTGTAACGATTGTGCCTCTCAGTTTAGGACTCCTTCCAGCTACATAGGCCATTTGGAATCTCACTTAGGATTTTCTATGAAGGATCTCTCGAAGTTATCAATAGAGCAGATTCGGGAGCAGCAGGCAATTTCAAAGGTCATACCAAATAAGACACTGAGTTCAGTTGGGTTGTCAGAGGAAGACATCAGCTGTACATTCCAGTGTAAAATGTGCAACCGGACCTTTGCAAGCAAACATGCGGTCAAACTGCACCTTAGCAAAACACATGGCAAATCTCCAGAGGACCATCTGTTATATGTAACTGAATTTGAAAAACAATAGTATCCAGGTAAGGAGATGTGTAATTAAGTATGTACTGATAAACACAGAGCATGGCAAACGCACTCCAGGATGAATGTAATGAACATTTCCTCATATGTCTAGACAGTGTGTACTTATTTGTCATTTTTTGCTGTTAACACTTCCTAACAAGTAATTTCCAGAGAATTAAGATCACCACTGAATGCATTGCTACAATAATTTATCTTATCATGTATTGTCAGGCAGTCATACAGTTTCAAATTCAGAATTTTATTTTGTTTCAAACAAGCATATATTTAATTGTATATTTGGAAGGAGGAATTTCAGGTTGTGGCTTGGGTAACTAAAGAAAACACATTAATAACTAAATGGAATGATGTCTTTGCAATTTGACCCATTATCTTTTAAACTTTGAACTGGAAGCAATTACTGCCAACATAATTCCATAATAACAACTGCAGTCCTTGTGATATAAAAAAATAAAAGTTACATTTGAACTTGGATTTTACCTGAAAGGTTATGTGTTATATTGTAGGCCACTGCAATACATTTGTTGACAAATATTTGGCAGTTATGGAAGGTCTTTAGTACAGACAACAGAAGAGTAACATTAAACTTTGCCCATTCATTCTGTCATTTCTGAACATCACTACTTTCAATATATGACCTTGAAGAACATACCTTCTCTTGTAAATGCCTTCTTCTGAATGCTCAGAACTAAAATATGAGAAGCAATCAGAATCCTGGAACATTTGAAAAATATTTCTTCTCTGAATTAACTGTTAGATACTTTTTTTTAATCGTGCTTTAAAAGTAATACTTTAAAATGTCAATCTTCAAAAAACTAAGAACAACAGTTGAATATTTTAATTATGGTATTTTGTTGTTGCCTAGAATTTTAAAGGATAATAGTAAGAGAGGATTGTATTTAAATAGCACCTTTCACAACTACTGGATATCTCAAAGCACTTCAGAGACAATTAAGTTCTTTTGAAGTACAGTCACTGTTATAATGCAAGAAATGTAGCAGCCAATTTACACACAGCAAGATACCATAAACAGCAATGCTGTAATGATGGGATAATTTTTGGTGATCCTGATTAGCAGATAAATATTGATCTGGACATGGGGCATAACTCCTCTGCTCATCTTCAAAATAGTGGCTGCTGGATCTTTTCTGCCCACCTCAGAGAGCTTGATTTAACATCTGAAAGATAGCAACATCGACGGTGAGGTGCCAGTCTTGATGTTTAAGCCCTGGAATGACATGCTAAATCATAAATTGATAGGCTAAACATTTGGACTGCAGAATGCTATTATATGATTGATATGCTTGGTAAAAGCAGTGGTAAGTAAGTGAGAGTGTTTAGGATCTAAAATATCACAGCATCCACAATTTGGAATGTCTGCCTGACTCTGCCACACTGAAAACATTTGAAATGAACAGCTGAGGTGCAATCAGGACGGTTAGCTCAATGTGCACAGCTTTTGCATCCAATACACAGATTAACTTTAAATATGGTAGAAGCTACTGCTGATATTGAAATGGTCTCTCATTCTGCACTGTGCAATGTTCTCATCCATTCATGTTACTGCCAGGGGAAATGAGGTGGTCTGTATAACAGATAACCATTTTGAGGCCACTTGGAAGAACGTAAGATAAAAGAGTGAATGTTGGCCGTTTGGTTGTTTGAGTCTAGTCTGCTATACAACAAGATTATTGCTTTATTTTCTACCTCAATTCCGCCTTCTCATATTATCTACCTATTTCTTAATTCGCTTAGTACTGAAAAATCTAAAAACCTCTGCCTTAAATATATTCAGTCAAAAAGCATGCAAACCCTTCTGCATTTGAGAATTCCACAAATCTATATTCCTCTGAGTGAAGAATGTTTAACACTATCATCCATATAAGTAATATTACACTCATAATCTCTATCATTGCATTATCATTAAGTGACATCCTGGAGTATCAAGCTGCTTAGTTACTTAAACACAACTGGTCAACTCTTCAAATTCGACTGTTCAAAGTTAACCTCTGTGGAAGTGAGAAACAGATAGTGTGAAGCTGAACTGAGTCTTGGAATGATCTATCATCAAGCTCTTGCACTGCGGTTCCATGTCACTGCACAACTCTTGCTCTCGATCCTGTTCTTACTTTGACAATTAACCAGTGACCACTTCTAAAGTGTCGTTGGCACTGATTGATTGCTAATCATCATCAAGAACTGACAAGTGATATTACGGGGATTTGGGTGAGGAGAGAGCACAGAGCGAGCTAGATATCCTAATGAGTTTTAAGCCAAGCTTGCTCTATAATTGTTGTCCAAACTGAAGAGTTTTCATCATTGTTCAAGGAAAGCTCCAAACACCATGCAAAAGTACACAGTTGAAATTTCCTTATGCATTGTTCATTCAGCCAATGGCATTTAAATGCGTCAGTGACCATATTAATCATTATCAATCATACATAGCACAGGCACAGCTCGCAAGTTTATTGTGCTATCAACCAATGTTTATCCATTTTGGGTGTGGCATTGAGAAAAAAACATTGAAAACAAAAAGTGATTTAACCAGTTATGGAAACTTCCTGAAGTAGAACACATCCTGCCAGTAGATGTTCAATTGTGCTTTGATAACACAGCAAGCAGATACTGTCAATGCATTGCCGGAATCCCTTTGGACTGTGGCAGGGACCTTTTGTTTGTAATGTGGGGAGGAAGATACCTGCATTCTAATTATTTTCCTATAGATTCTGATAATGTCCTTGCAAGGGAGATGACTGATTGAATTTCACCTGCACTGAATTATACTTGTGCATTCTGGTAATTGCAGAGGGCCACAAAGAGAAGCACAGGTACAACATTTGTTGTGCAGGGACTTAATAGCAGCATATTTACAAATTGATACGAGAGAGAAGCTTTCAATGCATTTATAATCCCATGAAATGTAATGCACCGTGGGTTCATTCCAAAGGGCATCCGGTCTCTGTTTGCCTAACTTGGATAATGGATAGCTGTAGTGAAATGCTGTGCCTCCAGAGCCTAACTGATTAAACATTAAAATTTTTATATTAAGGTTTACAAATTGCATGGAAATTTTCCATTTCACAGCAAATGTGGTGAAAATGACGCAGGCCCGCTTAGCAAATGCGACAACACACACTGCCAGGGAGCAAAATTACTCCTTTTGCACGCAAAGAAAATTGCAGGGGGATGGGTAGGGGTAGATTTCCACCAATAAATAAGGTGGAATTGTTTGTCATATTCTGTTCAATCAGTGGCAACAAAAAAAATTGGCTTGGAGCACCCAAAGATTCAGTAGTGTGCATTGATTCAGAAACTAAATCAGCCAAAATTATAAATATTAAACCATTGTGTATACGTGTTGGATACACAGTGACAAGCACAGTGTTGTCTAATTTCTTCCTGGAATGAGAAAAACCTGATCATCTCTCAATTATGACAGTCTTCCTCAAGTATGGAATAAAGCAGGGCAAATACACTGTCAACCTTTCTCTTCATTCTGCATGTGAAGAGATTTACAATTTTAAAAAAAATCATTTTGTTTATTTATAGTTTTAATGAAGATTATTACAGGCACAGAGGGACATTTAGCATACTTTTTCATACTGTGCAAGCAGCCTCTTTATCAATCTCTAGGGGCCACTGATTACCATCTTCAAAGTGTTCTGAGGATTTGAGTATTAAAGTCTTGGAGCAGACCTGATACTAGCAGTTTCACCCAAATGATGTAGGATCACTGTAAATTTTATTCTTTGATCCTCATAAACAGACAACTAAAAACCCCAAGTCCATCGTGAGCGGCAATAACGAAAAAAAAGTTGTCCTTGCTCAATTTTACACTGTACTTGAAAACTACAGTGTGGTAAATGCCTGTAAACCATGCCAAGCAGAATAAATTGTATCCTGAGAATTTCTGAACATAAGGACTGGAGGAGATCATTCAGCCCCTTAAACTAGGTCCATTCAATGAGATAATGGCTGATCTGCTACCTAACACCATAAACCCATCTTTCTCCAAATTCCTGAATTACCTTTGGCTCACAATAATTTATCACAGTTTCAGATGCGAACAATGAAGTATCAATTACCAATTGTTAGAACCTAACTATCAAGCATCAATTGCTGTTTGTGGAAGAGGCTGTTTGGTTACAATGTGAAACTGGCTACTATCCTATTACGTACAGAATAGGTGTGTTTAAGGGGAAGCTGGAAGGAGAAAGGACTAGAAGGATATATTGATGGAATTAGATAAGTACAGCTGGGAGGAGGCTTCTATGGAGGATTTACACGAGCATGGACCTGCTGGATGGAATGGCCTGTTTCTGTGTTTTATGTTGCACCTAACATTACAACAACTGGCTCATGCTTGCAGTTTTTAAGTTCAGCACAAGAAAAATATCAACACACAAGTTTTGTCCTCAGCTGATGTTGAGTGATTTCAATATGCCAATCTCTGCTGCTTGTGTTTTTCTTATTTTGTAGCCATATGGGCACTGTGAATGAGAATCCAGCATTCAAAACATGGTCTGTAATGCCCTACTAAAACTTTCACTCAAAATTAGAACTGTTTCTCAAAACAGTACTGGCCGCAAAGACAAATTAAACATATCATTAATAGGACAATACCATCAGCAGTCACTGTCAGCGGGTGGTAAAATGTTATTGTTCATGTTCAGATGAGGAAGATCTTAGTTTGGGTTGCAATTAAAACAGAATTGATTTTTTACCACATAAAGTATGAGAGACATAAAATTTTATGTCATTGCCATCTATTTATTGGACTTGCCATGGCAGCAGCAACATTGAGCAAAATGAATAGGTTAGTCAATCTGCCGTTTAGGATCTTTCAATTTGACAATAAAAGGTAGTGGTCTGACCAAACCCTTAAATCCCTTGCAGGCTTGTGTCACAGCCACAGAGCTAAGAATTGTACATGGGGTTTCGCCATTGCTATAAGTCTACTGCACCATGCTATATTTTAGCCATGGGATAATCATCTTGA